ATATATATATATATATATATATATATATATATATATATATATATATATATATATATATATATATACTTGCCATATTTCAATCAGTCGTTTGTGATGCCTTGTTCTATTCATTCGGAAAGAGTCTACAGGTACCAATCGATTTGAGTAAGCTATCAATTCCCGAATTTTACTGTGATAGGCGCTTAATACCTGTGATGTGATATATTTAAGAGTGCATCATACTTGCATATTTCACTTTTGCTTGCGACTGGTTTTAAATAAAATGTGGTTTAGCTGATGAACAGTTGGGTCCAAGTAATTTCTGATGAACTTATATTTCGGCTAGGACGTTGAATATTGATGGCTTTGGTTAAATTATTTCGTTCTCTATAATTTATTTCGATTACAAAGGAGACAATAGCATCGGGATAATGAATTATATCATAGCACGAAATTTACTTATATGATGAAAACTAGTTTCAAGTCACAGTTGATATAATTATCTTAGAATAAAATTAGGTATGGCTGGCTCAAGTAAGATAGATGGAAATTGTAGTAATTTGGAAAACATTCTCTGGACGAAGTGTATTTCTCTTACTTTCAGATAAAAGATGTTCCGTAACCAGTACGACAGTGATGTTACGGTTTGGAGTCCTCAGGTGATTTCAAATGTTTGATAGTTCTTCGATAATAACGTCACGTGTTCAAACACGTGATAGTGCTTGGTATTTTAAAGTCAACAATTAATTGCTCAATTTTTACGGCTGTACAATTCGTCGCCTGCATCCGATCTTTCCGATCAGAGTTCAGAATTTCATCTCGCTGATCCTGATAATCGGTGAGACCTTTTAGTGTAGCAATAGTTCAGAGAGATTGTTCACTCTCATTATTTCAGGGTCGACTTCATCAGGTTGACTATGCTGTTGAAGCAATGAAACAAGGTAGTGCTACTGTCGGGGTGAAGAGCAATACGCATGCTGTTCTGGTGGCGTTGAAGGTAAAATTTAAAACTGTTTCGTAATCACTCTTTTGTTCTTGTTCGTTGCTGTTTGTAAAAAGATGCAGTAAAACCTGACTTCACACATATCAGCAGGATTACTCGGTCATGATTGCGGTAATTTCATTGTCATTACAATACGCTCACATGCCGACTGCACAACCAATCGTAGCATGCATCTTGTGACTGCAAATGTATAGTATTTTCCATGTGTAGTTCGCACATCAGACTATTTAATGCTAGCGGCCATTACTACTTTTCCCAACAGATGTGCTTACATAACTCTCGAGAATGCATAATTCATGTGTTTGCATAACCAATCAATTTTCCAACTTATACTATCCTATATTCGGTTTAATTGAGATAATACAGTTAAAATTGACGAGCCTTCTTGTGGAAATATTTATCTTGTACGAACCATTCATATACTGCTCAAATTGTTCCTGCCTTATCGTAGTGATTGTGGCATATGTCTCAATCGCAGTCGTCGTCTGCCGTGGATATGAAGAAATATTTAAGTTGAATTCTGTGGGAATATTTTGAATCACTAATGTATCTTATAAACTTATAGCGTGCTGCCAATGAATTATGTTCGCATCAGAAGAAAATTTATGAACTCGACACGCATGCTGGTGTTTCTATTGCAGGTCTTCTTTCTGATGGTCGCATACTTGCGTTAGTATTGGATTTTTTATTTTTGCACCTTGAAGCGAAGGAATGCAACATTCATTTTGATGTTCCAATAACAAATGATCATTACTAGTCAATGATGAGACAGTAGCATTTCATTTTCGTTTGAATTTCATTGCAGTTTGGTATATATTCATTCCAGTGGAATCGGATATCACTTATTACCATAATCTGTTGAACAGAGAATCCATTAGTAAAGAAACTTAAGAGATAGGTGCTTATTCACTCATCCTTGTTTTTCTTTTAATGAATTCTTGCGCATCTATAAAACTATATTCAGTTAAAATCTGTTTTAGACGTTTCTTGCAAACAGAATGTTCAGCGTGGAGATGGGATTACAAAGAGCCGGTCCCTATTCAGGTTTTAAACAACCGAATTCAACTGAGTGAGTTCATTTTACCATAACATTTGATATTAGAAATCTGTTATTTAAAAACATCTGACTGGAAGTGTTTACATGTATTGTATGATGTAGAAGATGATTAGGATAGGAAGAAATGAACAGTTCGGTATAACAGAGAATCTGCAAATTTATATATCAAACTTCAAACTTAATATCAATGATTATAGAGTGACTTGAAATTTCTGAGTCCTAAGAATTCAAATTTCCAAGCGAAATTTTGGAACTGAAGCTTACGAATAAAAATTATTGCTTTTTCTGGACTCTTACGATAATTTTTACAGAACTGCAGGCAAATACACAGATTTACGGAAGACGTCCGTTTGGTGTTGGACTTGTTATTGCTGGTTATGACGTAAGTTTTTTCCTTCTATTTTGGTTCATCAGTGACACTCTGTTTTCACTTCTTTGACTGGAAATTTTGCAAGAACACTATGTCTTGAACATATAATTTTGCCACACATCATAGTCACTAGCGAGGATCAATTTGTGATCGCGACGCATTGGGTTTGATACAATTTAGAAAGCACATCAAAGCTAAATTAGTGGATTTGGATAATTCTTTTTCTATTGCAAGATTAAAGCTCACCTATTTCTGATCTGTACTTAATGTGCTTGTATTTTAGAGGTAGAGGGGAAGAATGTAAGACTTGTTCCTTAATTGTTTTGTATAAATGGACGAAGCATGGAAGCACTTTCGATTTTAAATGCTGGACAGGCATAGGAAAAAAATAATAAATTGTTATAGATTTACTCTTAGCTTTTCTGCTAAATACTTTACCTATTTCTCTTAGTATCATGCATCGTACAGCAGAGTGCTGATATATGGTAGGACGCTGCGCTGCATTTCATCTATGATGTTTTTTATAAAGCATCATCCGATACTGTTGATAATACTCTGTGATATAATAATATTCCGTTGTCTTTTCACATCCTTGTTGTTTACTCAGTTTATTTCTCAATTTTGTAAAGGAATGATGCTGTGAAGATTGGTTTTCTTGTGCGATATTTCACATTTCAGGAAAGGGGAACACATATCGTAAAAACCGACCCATCAGCAGAAGTCGTCGAAACACTGGCGAGTTCAATAGGTGCTCGTTCTCAAAGCGCACGCACATATCTGGAGCGCAATTTGGATCAATTTCCTGCTGGTTTGTGCTTATTATCAGCATATGAATCTATTATGGATTTATTTCGATTCTGAATTTGTTTAGCAAATGTTTATCATTTAGTCGAAAGGATTCTGAGTACAGATTCAAATTTTATATGCATATTTGCAGCAAGTGTTGAACAGTTGGTTGAGTTTGCACTCCTGGCACTGAGAGATACGCTACCCGCTGAGGACAGCTTGTCAAAAAAGGTAATTCTCTCTGATTCCTGTTTAGACTTAAAGATTTTGCATAATTTCTACAGATCTGGAATTTAATCAGTATTTTGTGTTTATGTATTGGTTACTCCGACTTCAAAGTAAAAATCTTCAATTTTTTCTCTGGAGCTGCAACATTTAATTGAAGTTTTATAGGTTTAGAATTTTTCCTCTAATTTATCAACTTGGTATAATGCATTTAGAATACAACAATTGCTGTTGTGGGTAAAGACATGCCGTTCAAAGTAATGGAAGACGACGATGTAAAACCATTTTTAGACCGCATTGCAGGAGTTCCGCGAACCGGTCAACAGAGCGGCGGTGAAGTATGTTTACAATTTCTTTTGAACATTTCGATACTAACAGGAAGCATGTTATTTTTCACTTAACTGCTAATGGTTCTCCACATCTCTTCCATCCATTTATTTTTAGTTTCAACTTATTTTATATGACAAATCTTTTCTAGTAGTTTCGTACTTTAGGAGTTGGATTTCAATAGATTGAATTCATAATATTTTATCCATCAAAAACATAAATCAGATCAGCACGTTTTTCAGCAACAAGCAACGGCGGAACCTATGCAGTTATGATCTTAGTTTATGTATAACAACTGTTTCAATGTTGCAAGTATCAGTTTACTTTTCATTGTGAATATTCATTCATGAACTTCGATTCGTATTAGCATCAGAAAAAAGAGAGAAATGAGAATAAGAAGGTAACATACAGTTAAGGAATGTATTTTAGCATTTAATAGAAAGAGAATAAGATGGAGGAAATGGAAAAGATAAATGAGCGCCTTGGTCATTTAACATCTGTCGGTTAGGAAGTAAAATTTATCAAAGGAATAACATATCGCATAAAACTTCGGTATTTTTAGAGATTCAGTTCTTTGTACTACTTCCTTTGACTAATTTAATATATAACACTGTTATTGACTGACATGTTTGAATAAGTTCAATACATTGTTAGTGAAACTTGATACCATTATCAGCTATAAATTTAACTTCGTTTCATATTCATTTATTGCTCTGTTTTTTTGTTGGAGTAAACACTTTCACTTTTATCTCCTATATGTACCGTTTCTAAAATGGACCATTACTGTTTGCCACATAATAAGATAAATTTAAATTTGAAAAGAATTGCCCAAAGTCTGAATGGTGTGAAACCATTTTTGGAAACTGATGGAATGCAGGCAAACTATTTCCACATTTTCTGGATCTAAGACCATATTCTTGCTCTCTGTTGGAGCAACCTTTGAAGAAGTTGGGCAGGTGGGTGTCATCATCAAAATACTTCATCAATAAACGAACGTATGAATCATTAAGGTCATGCTGCGGACACATCGTCATTACAAGTTTCCTATTTTCCTGCATCCTCAGAAAAACATTTTCTTGACATCAAGTTACTTAATTTAGTAATATAGAAGCTAATGGAGATTTTTTCATCAAAGTGCATAACAAGTGCAAGAATTCGGTAAAATAAGCTCATAAACGACAGTTGAGCGTGCAAAACTATAACCAGAGTTTTAGGGGATGATGGGAAAGTTCCAAGCTCAAAAGAAAGTAATAAGATTGCGTAGTCCTGTCGTCCCACCTTGCAATAAAGATATTTATTTAGAATGAATTCGATTGACAATTTGATTAACAAATGGATCTGAACGCTCACATAAAAATAGATCCAAAGGCTCCAATTTCCTTCGTAATCTGATGTTGACTCCGTTCGACATGAAGTTAAATTTCAAGCATTAGTTTTGTTAAGAAGCATTTGAACTATACATTTATCACCCACCATCTTTTCGTAAAATTCCACCTGCCAAGATTTGAAGGAGCGGATACATAGGTAAGCGTTTCCATTTCTCTTGCTGTTAGAAATTAATATTTTATAACACAACGACAAATCTTACCAAATTGTTTCCCAAATATGCTCCTCTTTTGTCATTTGAACTGATCTGAATTGGATTAGGATTTGGGCCAGGTTAAACCGAATGAAAGTACTATGAAGTGAAATAAATTAAACTGAATTATCTCATAAATGTATGCAGAAACATAATATTCCACTTTTTCAATAAACAAAAACGCTATCACGAAATCACAGTGATTGCAATCGTAGCATCTCAGTGACCACTGAAGCTTATTTTTATGATGCATTTGAAAAGATATCGGAAATATGATCAAAATTTAGATGTGGATTTTTTTTGAAACAGAATCCCTGAACACTTACCTTCATAAGTTACCACTTCAATGCAAGTTCCTCATCCCCATTATTGACCATTCGTGGACTGCAATACTTTCCACCAGTGCAATAACACTACCGCGTACATGGACTTTCGAAATTGCCGCCTTATAGAAAAGTTTACAGCGACAGATGATTCATTTCCAATTTCCCTCAACTATTCCATCCTGCAAAACTCCAACAGCTCTCAGCGAGACGAATCAAAAACCCTTTAATCCTTCCCATATGTTCCCAAAGCCCATATTTAGGGCACATAATAAAGCTTCAAGCTGTTTTCCTGTCATATTAAGGCGCTATATGACCATAAATACACATTTTATTTCTTAAATAAGGATAAACAAACAAACGAAACGAAACATATATATGCAAAACATTTTCCATAACACAGATGAAGCATCGGGAATTAAAGTCATTGGAAAAATGTACAAAACAGTTGCAAATAGATCCAATCAAATGAGATGAAAAATTAATTTATTGCCGCAAGAACTTCAGTAAATTAAAACCGATTGACGTCAGAAATACTTGATGTAACGAAAAACTGGTAGCGAATTGTGCTATTCTGTACTTATATATGTTTATTTGAATTTTATTTCCCGCTGAGTTACATGTAAATTAAGTAATGCAGTTGAGGCCGAAAAAAATCGCTATTCTGGAGAAACTCAAAATAATAGTGATCATTAAACACGTTCACTATAGAAAGATACAACAAACGCTAACCGTACCAAGCTTAATAAAGCCAGAATTTATTAGAAACTAAAAAGGGAAACTTAGAAGTAAAGAAAAAACTAAAGGAACAACTTGATGTTGTACTCAGAAGTGACAAGCTTCAGATATCGGTCGATTCGAAATAAAGTTATTCTGGTTAATGTATGGAGGACAGGTGGTTAACATCCTGACCTTGTTAAACAACAAACAAAATACGAGGTCACGACGCTAATTAAACCCGACTTATTCAAGATCCTCACTGGCGTAAAATCGTCCGAAAAGAAGGAAAAACAAAAGAGAAACGACGGAATTTTCTAAAGTTCATCCTTGTCCTCGCCCGGTGCGGCACTTTCTGGTGGCGGCACACCCTGATCTTTGTATAACTTGCCAATAATCGGTTGTACTTTGCTTTCCAAATCTTTCTTATGCTCTTGCAACTCCTCAACAGATGCATCCTGAAAAGAACATGTATTACCACAACTGTAGGAAAATACAAGAACTTTTTGCTTTTATGGCAGTTTCCCTATCCCTGAAATGGTTTTTCTATCTTACTAATAGTATAAAATAAAGGTTCCTTCAACTGCACTATTTCCTTGAAAACACTCCAAATTGGAAAAGTACACGGATGAACGGCTAAAGGAACTTCATCCCTCGGAAAACTTCACGAACTTTCGGTAAAATTCGTTCTCGCAAAGAAGGAAATAAATGAAAACTTACCTTGTGGCTTTCAAGCCATGAAATGGCATCATCAACGGCGCTTTCAATCGTTTTCTTGTCACCATCATCCAATTTACCACCCAATTTCTCTTTATCACCAATTTGGTTCTTCAATGAATAAGCATAACTTTCCAATTCGTTCCTTGCTTCCACCTGCTCTTTCACCTGGAATATCCATATTATACCTAAACGGTGCATGGCAGACCACAAAAACCATTTAGCCTATGTTGAATATTTTAAGCATCGCAGAAAGTACCAAATAATAAAAAAGCTAGAAACCTTCTTGTCTTCATCAGCGAATTTCTCCGCATCGTTTATCATCCTCTCAATATCTTCTGGTGACAGACGGTTATGATCATTTGTGATCGTAATTTTATTCTTGTTCCCTGTACCTTTATCCTCTGCTGTGACGTGTAGAATGCCATTCACATCGATTTCAAACGTAACCTCGATCTGCGGTACACCTCGCGGTGCAGGTGGGATACCCGTCAAATCAAACTTGCCCAAGATATGGTTGTCTTTTGTCATTGGTCGTTCTCCTTCATAAACCTGAAACATTGACTCACTGGTTAAATTTATGTATTCTAATAAATGCAGATCTCATTTCTTCGTAAGCTTTTGCTATATCCGTTACTATGCATTCTGAAATAGTATTAAAACAAAGAAAGAGACATAACAAAAACGCCAATATCCCGAAATGGAAAAAAAAACTGTACTTCGCTACAAAGCAAACCTGAATAGTGACTGTTGGCTGATTATCAGCTGCCGTAGAGAAAATCTGACTCTTCTTGGTAGGGATAACAGTGTTCCTGTTAATAAGTTTTGTCATAACACCACCAATTGTTTCAATGCCAAGAGTCAAAGGGTTCACATCTAACAGTACAATGTCACCAGTGCTTTCTTCACCCGAAATAACACCAGCCTGGACTGCTGCGCCATATGCTACAGCTTCATCTGGATTGATACCACGCGACGGCTCCTGCAAACCACAAGTAAAATAATTCCAAAATAACACTAGATCAGAGACCTCAATGTGAAATCCTGAATACTGAGTCCTTTTTCCTCCTTCTTTAATTCTGTTCAGAAATAGTATAGTTTCACCTTTCCATTAAAGAACTCCTTAAGGAGTTCCTGCACTTTAGGAATACGAGTAGAACCGCCAACAAGAACAATTTCGTCGATATCTTTTTTCTGGATATCGGAATCTTCCAAAACCTAGAAAGGATAGATACTATCAAGATCCAGACTTAAAATGAGATAGAAGATGAAAGTAAAACGGTGTCAAGAAAAAATAAAAATTATCTCCCAACAAAAACTAACTTTCTGCACTGGTTTTAGTGTTGAACGGAACAAATCCATGTTTAATGACTCAAATTTCGCTCTCGTTAGCGTTTCAGAGAAATCTTCATTATCGTACAGCGATTCGATTTCCAGCCGCACTTGATGCTGTGTGGATAATGCTCGTTTCGCCTTTTCTACTTCCCGTCGTAATTTCTGCACAGCACGAGTATCTTTTCGTAAATCCTTGCCGGTTTTCTTCTTGAATACTTTGATAAAATGTTCCATAACTCGCTGGTCGAAGTCTTCACCACCCAAGTGAGTATCACCATTGGTAGCTAGCACTTCGAAAACACCATTATCAATCGTCAACACCGACACATCAAAAGTACCACCACCAAGATCGAAGACAAGAATATTGCGTTCACCTGAAATCAAAATTGCATCATAACACTGCCGAATTTCATATTTAGAAAGAACAAACCTCACAAACTCTAAGACTTTAGAGACTTCCGCCTTTTTATTCAGTTAAAATCAAACTAGATATCCATATTTGAATAAAATTGGTAATAACACAGAAATCCAAGTAATCGATATTTCAGAGTCCACATGAGTAAACAAAATGAAATCATCGCCATAAACAGACCTTGCAAAGAGGTCGATATTGCAGTAATCCAAAGAAATGTTACATACTTCCTGAAATTCAAAAAATCTACAAAAACTTGCCCTCCTTCTTATCCAACCCATAAGCGATAGCAGCAGCCGTAGGTTCATTGATGATGCGGACAACATTGAGGCCAGCAATAGTACCTGCATCTTTGGTAGCTTGACGCTGTGCATCATTAAAGTAAGCGGGTACCGTGACCACTGCATGTTCCACTTTCTTTCCTAGATATGCTTCCGCAATTTCCTTCATTTTGCCGAGTACCATTGCTGAAATCTCTTCAGGGGCGAAGGTTTTTTCGGCTTTGCCAACTGTCACTCGTACCATTGGTTTGTTCTTTTCATCCAGAACCTGAAAGATTTCAGTTTCGGTATTGGGGTCGAACATGCAAAAAAATTTTTTTTTTACTGATCCTAAAGTCAGTAAAAAAGAAAACTCACATTGAAAGGCCAGTGTTTAATATCTTGCTGTACAGTCGGATCCTTATATTCTCGACCAATCAGACGCTTAACATCAAAGACAGTATTTTTCGGATTTGTTGTTAACTGGTTTTTAGCAGCATCACCAATAAGACGCTCACCACCATCACCAGTGAATGCCACGTACGAAGGCGTAATTCGATTACCTTGTTCATTGGCAATGATTTCCACTCGTCCACTTTTATAAACGCCGACACAGCTGTAAAACATTCAGTTTTCATCGACTATTTGAATTCTTTACATCCTTTGAATAATTACGCATACCAGAACTTGGTTAATTTCATAAGCATGTCTCTACATTAAAACCCTCTCAATCGTCGCTGTATGCAAGACTAAAATTATCGTATAATGAATTCTGAAGAGAAAACTATCACGAGCTATTTCATTTCCATCAAACGGCAATTAACACAGAGGAATAATTTAATAAGTCGCGATATACTAATCTTGCTCTTCTGTCTGTTATGTACAATAAGTTAACTATAGATCCCGCAAATTATAAAATGTGAAATATTCCTTCTCAACTTCCCCTTTATTGTCTGACTTGAATGGAAATAAGTGAGAAAGAATGGACAACCTGTATGTGGTACCAAGATCAATTCCAATGATAGTGCCGTATTTCACACTTTTATCATCTTTCGAACCATGGGTATCATCTTTCTTACCATCCTGTGGGAAAACATCGACAACTAGAAGGGCCACAACAACAAACAACGGTAATGTCTTCATAGTCTGAAACATTAATTAATTAATTAAGAGCTGAACAGACAGCAACAGTGCAAAAGTTTCCGTTTTAGTCATACATGCAGATAAGAGGAAGAGACAAAAAAAAAAAAAGAAAAATCCTTAAAGACATTCGATTCATAATACCAAGAATTTATGCTGTACTGTTAGATCGATAAGAGTGATTTTTTTTTCACGAAATTTAACCTATCATCATCACTATGTTATCTTAATCATCAAATCCACAGCGGGACATTACCACTAATTTATGTCGCGATAAATCACAGAAAGGCAAGCATTTTCTGGAAGCACAAAATCGACTCAAATCATTGGAAGA